AACACAAGAGAAATCTGCGCTCTCGTTGATACAAATAGGTTGTTTCCGAAATAAATTCTCACAGTTGGTGAAAGGAGGAAAAATATTTCTAAGGCCCGTTTTAGATGCAAACTAAAATTTATCCAAAAGTTGAAAAGGAGCCCCTATGCAGCCAAAGGGGTTGAAAATCAGAATAAGAGCTTTGAGGTGTATCAAATAATAAAATTGTTTAACGGCGTTTCTTCCTGAACAAAAAGATACATTACAACCTATATTTACAAAAAATAATAAAGGGACCCTTATGGTCCTTGATGATCTAAAGTGTGTGTGCGTGGAGGGGGGGGCGATTCTTCGTATCATAGTATGAAGCATGGTTGTTTTTTCACATATTATCTAAAGTATAAAATACAACTTCAAAAATGCAACATACTTTCTCAGCTGAGTCGGTCGTAGTGCTTCATTTTTCAATTTTTTTAATTTTCGGCTGAGTTACATCTGCTTGTAATATTATACTAGTTCAGTTACAGCATGATACGATTTACACATGCAGTGTTATATTTGCTAAATTTTTTTATAAAATAATATTGAATTTAAATCAAGTTGAAAAGCTTTTTACCCATATTTTACATAAGTATGTTCAGCTGGGTTGCGTCATCAAAGTGCATAAAAAAACATAAATTTTATTTTTAAAATTTTAAATTTCTACCAAAATTTAAAAAAAAAAAATTGTCTTTAGACTTACATAACTATATTCAAGCACTCATCACTACAGACGCACATCAAAAGTACCCAAAATTAATTTTAAAAACAAAGATTAACAGTTGGCAGCTACCTGGAAAAAAATGTCCTAGAGGGGCGCCGGTATAAAATATATACCGGCTCTCAAAATTCAGGATTTCGCTCTAGATTTTTTTTAAGTCTCAATTTTGTATCCTTAGGGTCCATAAGTTATAGTTCATGCAAAATTTTCCCACAGTTTAAATTATTTTATATACCGCCTCTCAAAGGGTTATTGTAATAACTCATGTTATTTTTCAACACGTTAATCCTGCTAATGCGCATTCTCATGCAGCATATGTTGCTAGTGACCTGTCCCGTATCCCCATGGCTGCCCAGCTCACCTAAATTCTTCTCCATTAAACACGTTTAATAGATGATCAGCCTTTGGCTCCAGCCATCGCAAAACGTGTTTGACCTGATTTCTCAATCACAGAGAATCAAGTGAAGACACCCTTGATGACAGCATTTTTAGACGTTTCTATGTGTTCTTGCCAAACGGATTTTCGCATGCATTGACACCCAAGCCATATTATCGTGTTAGCTCTTGTGGTAAAATATTTTATATAATAATGATATAATAAATAAATAATGATATATTCTCCAATTGTTATATTTTCTTCACTGCCTTCTCTCGTACTTGACCAGTTACTGTACGGCCCAACATATTTTCTAAATGAACAGATTTTTTTCCTACAGAGTTTTGCGGATTTTTAGTGTGTATATAAAATTATATATTTTTAGTATATTTTTCAGAGGCCAAAAACAGTTAAAAATTGTGATACTAAACTCCGCATCATTGTTATAATTGTCATTTCCAGAATTTTTATTTGTAATAAAAATAATATTTATGAGTTAAATTCACACTGGATAGATTTTGTGAAAGCAACTTTTATTAAAGCGTGTTAAATGAAAATCCTGTAAAAGAATGCAGTTAAAGTAGAATTGGATATATTAAAATATATTATTTAATTATTCGTAATGTTTTACCAATTTCTTAGATGTTTTTGTGTTGAGTATCAAATTTATTTTGATAATTTTAAGCATTTAAAAATGTATTAAATTTATCAATTGTTTATGATCAGGCACTGAAATTCAAATCTAGAGGAATTGGGTTAGATAATGTAAACTTAGTAATATACAAAATTAAAAATTTAACCTTTCTGTGAACTTTCACATTTTCTTTCACATTTATATAGTGCTGCCATCTATTGAGGGATTAATGAGTTTCAGATTTGAAGCTAATTTGCAAAGAGATGATTGGAGATGACTAAACAGGTTAATTTCCGTTAAGCGAGATTTATTACTTTGAATTTTAAACTTATATATGTTTCTTTTCAGCACTTAGTAAGTGAAAAAGAATTGAAATTTGCTTTTTTTTTTTTAATTTATTTGTCACTCAAATATGCAGTCCTTTTTTTATTCTGATTCAAATCTTAAATTCTTTATTTCACTGTAAATGGAATTTAATTTATTTGCTTGACTTTGATTTAGTATTTATTTTTAACATTTTCGAAATAAATAAATAAATAAAAGTAGAAAAGTGCACTAGACACTTAGCACTTTAATGCATTTGAGACAGATTTGTAATTTTAATTGAATTATTTTTTTAACTTTTGAGGATGCTATTCACTTTACTCCTTGCTTCTCTTCTTCTGAATCTAATCTTTAAAACGCTGTTCTTGGAACATTTCTGAGAAACAATTTAGTTGCAGAAATCTTTCTTAGTCTTTATTTGTTATTCAAAATATTACGCAATATGTTACCTTTTTATTTCATGAAATTGTAATAGATGTTTTAATCAATGCTTCATGTGAAATTTTTAGCGAAATCTTCGTCATGTTATTGGAAAAAGGTGCTGAATTCTTTGTTCGGCTTGATGAACGTTTTTTAGCATACTTATTTGCATTTTAAAATTAAAAATCGTCCTCTGAAACATTACGAATATTTTAGTGAAAATGTATAAATATTTTGGTACTTCTTTTTTTTGTAAGGTGATTGGCACGCTTTTTACTTCCTTGTACAAAGTAAAAAGGAAGTATTGTAATCGCGAAAAGTTTCAGGCAGCATATTTCAACGAAAATATCCATTTTGACCGCTTTCGAATGCAATTTAACGATGTTTTTGCGTGATATCTGTACGTAAGACAGAATAAAAAACTCTTTTTCCAAAAAAAAAAAAAAAAAAAAATTATAAAACTGCTTTAAAATGAATTCTGAAGAGAATTTTTCGTGGCGTCATAACGAATGTGTGTATGTACGTGCATAACTCAAAAACGAGTATCCTCAGAACGTTGAAATTTTGTATATAGGACTCATATAACATGTAGATGTGCACCTCGTATTTTGGTTGCAATCGGCCGCGCCAAACGTATATAAATATATTTATATAATTTAAAGTAAAGTAGAAAGAACAAACGATAAAAGACCTATGTAGTCAAAATTTTTATGCATTGTGCTGCAAAATTAAGGAAATAAGAAGATAAATTTTAGTACGCACGCTAGGAAGTTGCTAAAAAACTGTTGCTCCGCTAAAACTTCAACATAAGCAAATTTAGTTGCAATGAATTGTGTTAAAAGAGAAATATACAACATTTGAATATTTACAAGTAAAAATTAACAAAAATAGTAAGCTATATGTTAAACTAATTAAGTAAATTTAAAACATAGTAAAAGTACTAATCGATTGATCGAGGTAAAAATAAAAATAAAATAAAAATTAAGAAGCGGTAAATGGTTGATTAGCCCAATTCGAAGTTCATTTTGGTACGTCAGGGGAAATTTTTTCAATGAATTTCGAACCAAGCTAACTCCATCACGCGTTTCGCCGAAACAGACAATTGAAACTGTACGCGACACATTTTTCAATAAATTAAATAAACTATGTCAAAAACTTTAATCTCAATTCTTCGTTCCAATTTCCCGGCGCGTCCGCTTACATTAACGCATTAAGATATAAAAAATATAATAAATAAATAATGGAAAGGAAATGCCGATGTACAGAAAAAAATAAAAAAATAAATAGCGATATGCTATTAGTCAAAATATACAAGATCTTATGGGTGGACCGTATATCCACTCTGTTACCCGGCTCAGTGATCTCAGTTTCTTTACTCTTATATGTTTGTAAATTGTACATTTTTTGCTTTAAAAATGATTGAATTATGTTGTTCTTATCTTCCGGTTAAGGTATTTATACATTTAGTAAATCTGTATACAATATTTTTAGAATTATCAACAATTTTAAAGTTTTTTAAGTGCCGCTAAGCCTAATAATTTTTTTGATGGCGGCCATTGCTTGTTTACATTTGAAACAGCAGAGTAGTGGATTTGTTGCCAATCTAGAGAAACTTAGCTTCGCAACAACAAAGATAATGCCTTCATTTATTATTGCGAATTAAATCATGCTTAATCCTTTCTAGAATTTTTTCGAGGAAATAAGTGTTTAAGATTTAACTGAATTAACTGATTTTTTAAGAACTGAATTAATTGAATGCGAAATACTCAATCGTCTGTGAAAAACTGTTTCTTTTTTGTTTGTTTGCTTAATTTCTTTTATACATCGTTCTAGCTTTATTATAGTATTTGAATAGAACATGTGGCAACGATTAGATAATTCTTTAAATGATATAAATTTCGTGCATTCTGAGTTATAATATGAACGAAATATAATACTGTTAAGTGAACCTAGCGCCAGAGTGTCGCTATGGTAAACAAATAGTGTGAATTTTTTTTAATATTCCGTACAAGGAAGTCATGTGATGCACACATCAGATTTTTTAATAGCGTTGCCAATCACCTTAAAGCTCCAAATGTGGTAGCATGTCTATTTCACATCAAGAGTAACTCTTCAGTGAAAGGGAAGAAGGGACATCGCGCAATAATTTTCCTTTCGATATTTTCAATTACATTTTTTTAAAATTTTTCTTTTGAAATGGGGATTTTTTATTATTTAGTTATTTGTTTATTCTTAAAGAAGGAATAATTGTGTGGTAACATGTAATAATTGTATTGAATCTCATTTGTGAGTTTTTGCATTTATATTTGTTTTTGCATTTATTTTTGAATTTATAAAATAGCTATACTTTTTACGAAACTTTTTATATAGTTAGGGTTGCCATTATTACCTCTAATTCGCGCCAACATTTATTTGCCGCCAAGCAGAACCTCATTAATCGAAAAGTACTAATATTTTTATATGTATAAGAAATTATAACTCTCATATAAAGTGATATTTGTTTATAGAGCATCTTTTGATGACTGGAGACCGTGTTTGGCAGAGCTGCTTCAGCCCATTCCTTTTCATGACGAGTAAGTAATAACTCTTCTGACTTATTACTGTTAAAAACAATTTATTGTGATCCACGAGTCATTGTTTACAGTAGACATCTTAACTTATTGCATCCTTGCTTACTGCACGCCATGTTTTAAGAGATGAGTATCAGCTGCACGAAATTTATTTAAGGAGGGCCTTTGTGCACAGAAGACTAAGGGCTAATAGACAAGATTTCTATCTTTCACCTTAATAAGCAAAGTGTAAACTCGTCAAAGAAAATAATAGAAAAATTGAGAACTGCACACCTTTGCTTTTGCCTTCTGCTGTTTTCTAAGAACTTGAATTCCCAAAAAGAACAGGGTTATTATTATTATTATTTACGTGTTCATCCCCTAAGGCAATACATGGAAGGGAAGGATGCCTTCGTGGAGGACATTTTAAGAAAAGAGCATAGTTACTAGAAAAAAACCATTTGTTCTTTTAAATAGACATTTGGTTGAGACAATAAATCGTTATTTCCGTCTTTCAGGTATTGTCAACACTGTGCATACGAAGTAAATGTTAAATGAAAAATTAATAAAGTAATAAATTTTTAACTTACAAGCGTCTTAAGGGGTCAGGTACCCTTTGAGGGTAAAAAAAATCAATATTTTTTATTGTTTATATTAAAGAGGTAACTAATAGCAAAATTTTAAAGCAAACCGCATAAAAAAAAATTCCAAAAACATTGGCTTAAAACGCCTTGCACTTTATGCCAATGTGAGGGAGTTACTTTTGAAGGAGATGTAATAAATATTTAAACTGAAATTTTATATTTTATGGAATCTTTCTCGATACTTTTTGATCACAGTAGTACGTACGTGCATATGTGTCTGTATATATATATATAATTTTGAAGGTATGAAGAGAAAAAATGCTGTTGTAAGGATTGCAAGATATTAGTTAGCTGATTAGAGATTATATTGCTTTCATTTCCGTTGAAAACGAATATGAATAAGGCACCAAGAAATGTATAAATGGAGCTAATTAATTTACAGTGTGATATGAATCTTAGTCAAGGATTTGAAAGTGCAAGTTTTACTAACATTCATGCATAGTTGTGAAGAAAATAAATACGCTCAGATGCAAATTTTTTCATTAAGAATAAGCGTTTTGTTTGGAAATACGTAGGTCAATCAAATATAAACGAGCCTTTAATGGCTGAGAGTGGGGGAAGGGTATTTGTGTGTGAGTAGGGAAACCACATCAGCCGGCTTGTCCAGTGCTCAAGTTAGTAGCCTTTACGATGAGTGAGAGGAGTGTGCCTGTCTCTGCTGAGCAACGCATAATTATAAAGTTGCTCGTCTGTGAAAACATGAAACCAGCCGAAATTTACCGCAGACTGCTTGCCCAGTTCGAGGAAGCTACGCTTTCATGGTCAAAAGTGAAGGTTTGGTGCAACCAATTTAAGCAAGGCCGTGAACGTGTTGCGAATCAAGCACATCCCCGTCATCCTCGCACGAGTGTGACTAATGAAAACATTGCACGTGTTCGTGAGCTTAGCGAATGGGATCGACGTTTCCCATCGCTTCAAATTTCGGAAGAACTTGGTGTCAGCTATGAAAGTGCCCAATCAATCATCAGAAAGCATTTGGGCTTCAGAAAAATCTCAGCACATTGGGTTCCAAAGGTTGCTGAATGATGATCAAAAAGCCACAAGAGTTTGCATTTCTCAACTGCTTCGAACTCGTTTTGAAGAAGAAGGGAAGCTTTGCATAAAATTGCCACCAGTGATGAGACATGGGTGCATCATTACACCCCCGAATCAAAGCATGCAAGTACGAACCAAAACTCGATGTCTGCGGGGAAAATGTTGGCCATGGTTTTGGGGATTGAAGGGGTGTCCTACTGGTAGATTTCTTACACGGACGTCAGACCATCAACGCAACCTACTACTGCGGTCTCTTGGATCAAGGTAAGCTTCAGTATCGATGCATAAGACGAGATTGTCCCATCCGCGAGATGTTGCTCCTCCACGACAACGCCAGGCCCCACACAGCAGCTGCACGCAACAGAAACTGGTAGAAATGAACTGGAAAACACTTGATCATCACCTTATAGTACAGACTTATCCCCATGTGATTTTCACATGTTTGGACCTCTCAAAGAAGCATTTAGAGGCAAGGGATTTGAGACCAACCATCGAGTGGAAACATTCGTGCGCAGCCGGTCCAACTTCATTCTACGAGAACGGAATGAAAAAATTATCGCAACGTTGGGAAAAGTGTATAATAAAAGAAAGGAATTATATAGAAAAATAATTTGTAGAAATGTAGCTGTTTCTTGTAAAATAAATTTTGTTTATTCAAAAGGCTTTTTTTATATTTGATTGATCCTCGTACAATTATAAAGTGAAAAACGTTTTCTCACAGTTAAAAATTGATAAGAAAAGAACCCGATTGACCAGTCTGCAGTCCGTGATGAAGAAAATTTATAGTAATTTATCTCAAAGACCACAAACTTTATCAAAATTGAAACGACATCGAATATCAAGCTGTACCAAGAAAGGAAGAAGTTTATAATTACTTACATGCAAACATATGTATTTTTATTCATACGTCGAAGACAAATCTAATAAATAAGAGCAAAAAACTAGGTTTTCATTATTTATTCTCAAAATTTGTCCCACTTTAAAACCTAAGAATGCTTTTATTTTTAGTTTAAATTAAAATAAATTATCTTATGATTATTTAAATACGTTGGCATTATTTGAAAGAAATGTCAATATCAGAACTTAATATTTAGCTGTCAGTATACTTAAATTACAAAGTGCAACCAAGAAATATGACTTGCTGGTACCAAAATTAGATTTCAGGTAGAAAAAAATTTAAATTTTACTTTCTTTCCTTTACATAATTATTGTTCATGTAATGTTTGGACAAATGCTTAGAAAGAAAATGTATATATATTTTTATTTCATTAATAAAACTTTTCAGTTTGTTAAAAAAAAAAAAAAAAAAAGAAAGAAAGAAAAATTATCTCCCGTCATGGCCTGCCAACTGCTTTCAGACCATGCCTGGGGCCTGCATTCAGTTTGAGTTAGAAACCATTGAAGTATATGACAATAGATTGTCAATTTGTCATCATATTATTTATATTGTCAAATGCTCTTTTTCGATGAATAGTTGAACAAAATGTTTAACTTCCTACTTAAATAAATAAATAAATAAACTTGCTGCATTATGGAAGCTTCAGATTACAGCCTGACACTTTAAACAAGAATTTATCAAAATTTACAAAGCATTAAGAATATTAAAAAATAAAATAATAAAACATCATTGAGATTTTAAAATAATAAAACTTACAATCTGACTTCCGTTTGCATATTCCGGTCCAATGCCCAAATAACTTTTGAGCTAAACAGCTAAGCCAGGCCTATTAGTTTAAGAATTAATTCGCTGAAAAATGTATTGTTCGAAACAGCAGTGCCAAAAAGAGATGTACGCCAGAAATTTTCTATGAAGTTACTCCATTATAAAGTAACGTCAAGAGCAGACTTAGTTAATAATAATAATAATAATATTTTTTCCATGTATTAAAAATACTTCCATTCGGCTTATTTTTATGCAAGTTATCCTATTACACTTAATCATTTCATTTTTTATAAATTTTGTCTTTAGAAACGTCCTTTGCAAATTCTACAAAGTTTTCAGACAGGTACGTTACGCAACATTACTATCTGTATTCTTGTCACTCTTCTCGGCAGATATTGACATTCCTTGAAATACAGGATCTTTAATTTATTTTCCAAACGTTGTCTTTTATAGCTAATTCTCATAATATTACTATTCGGCAAAACAGAAGATTAATTTATCTTTCAAATTTAATCTATATGAAAGTGCTTAGTAATAAACCGAGGAATCTGAAAATGATAAATGCACTTTCGAAACAATTTCCGTGCATTGATTGAAATGAGTTACGTGGGAAATTCGAAGGAAAATGAAAAAAATTTTCGAAACAGTAATAGAGTTCGCCCGTGTTTTAGGGGGGAATGGGGCTAGAATTAAGTCAAAATCACATCATGTCTCTTTTGTATATGCACTGACTACCAATAAGTATATGGACACCTGTGATAGAAAAGAAAAACTAACTTTATTCAAAATCAATAGTTGGTAGAGCCTCCACGAGAGGTAATTACAGCGTGGACCCTCTGGGGCATACTTTCCACAGGTCTTTGTCTGACAGCTAGTGGTATTTTCTTCCACTCGGCTTGGAGAAGACATAGAAGTTCCTTCATCGATTTTGCACGGGTATTGCACCCCTGAATTCGGCGATGCAACTCGTCCCAGAGGTTCTCGATAGGCTTTAGGTCTGGACTCTGGGCAGGCCAGTCCATTCAATGAACTCCATTGGCACCATACCAAGCCTTGGTTAACGTCGAAACATAACAACTGGCATTGTCGTCCTGAAAGTAACAGGGGTCCAACCCGTAAAACTGCCACAACGTAGGAAGCACATTGTCATCCAAAATAGTGCAGTAGGCATCAGAGTTGAGCTTACCATGAATGGGGACTAAGGGTCCCAGCCCATACCAGGAGAAACACCCCCAGACCATAATTCCACCTCCGCCGAACTTGACTGTTGGCACAATGCATTCTGGCAGGAGACGTTCTCCAGGTAGACGCCAGACCCAGACCCTTCCATCCGAACGGTAAAGGGTGAACCTTGATTCGTCACTCCAACGAACCCGTTTCCCACTCATCTACGGTCAAATTTCAATGTGCTTTGCACCACATTAACCGAGCAGCGCGGTTGGACTTTGTGATCAAAGGCTTATGGGCAGCAGCACGACCATGAAAACCAAGCAGATGTGCTTCCTTACGGATGATATTCATTGAAACAATACTCCCGGATGCCTGTTGAAACTCCTCGCGGATGAGGGCCGCCGGTTGGATGCGGTTCTTCTGAATTTCTCTGGACAGCACTCGTCGGTCTCTATCTCCCAGTTCGTTGGTCTGACGACTCGGGGCACATTCCGACAGTCACCGCTCACCTT